TTGAAGCTTGCCCTGGTTAGGTTAATGCAGAAACTTGTGAACGATGCTCTCTTATAATCGTGGCATCACCGTTTAGTGACGTCATTGAATGTTCCGGGAAAACTTAAGTTGTATTTTCAGTGTCGGTCACAGCGGCTTTTAATTGCTGTTTTGGATCCGGCAATTATTAATTTACAAATTAAGCACTGTTTGCTGCTCAGCAAACATTTCTGATTACAAAATGATGAAAACTGTTGTGCTGATTCATATTTTTGTGGATTTTATGAAGAACAAAGGTCAGCAAAAAGGCATTCTCGTAGCTTCATAAAATTACGGTTGAATCAATGATGTCACATGGACTATTTTAACAATGTCTTTACTACATTTCTGGACCTTGAACGTGTCAGTTACATTGCTGTCTATGCAGGGTCAGAAAGCTCTCAGATTTCATCAAAAATATCTTCATTTGTGTTCCGAAGATGAACGAAGGTCTGACAGGTTTGGAACGACATGAGGGTGAGTAATTAATGACAGATTTTTCATTTTTGGGTGAACTATCCCTTTAACACAGTGCTTAATAGCTACTGGTTAACATTGTTTACCAAAAAGGAATGCTGTTTATCACATATTAATGACAGATTATGAAATACATAAAACAAACATCTTTACAGGAATAATCTGTACTATGAAATAGGCACAAAAAAAACAGGAATTTGTGTTAGGAAAGCAAATAGAGTCAGTTTTGATTTCATGTTGACAGTGGAAATCCAAATCCAAAACTGAAAGGCTGAAGGAATTAACTCCGGAAGTCTCCGAAGGGCTCTCCTGCTATTTCCAACCGCACCAGGCTGGATCTGAACTCTGCCGTGAGGGCTGGCAAGCTCTTTATTGTTAATTACAGAGAAGAGAGGGACTAATTAAGCTCATAATGAGTTGGCAGGGTGAGGGGTGTAAATGAGACGAGAGGCCGCAGTCCTTCAAATCCAGACATTGATCCTCCTTCACGCCACTGTAAGACCTCCGAACTCCACTCTCAACTCACATCTCACCACCGTTCACCTTATTATCGGCCGACGGAAGAAAAAGAATGAAACAGAAATATATTTAAACTAAGCTGTATGGAGCGGTTGTATACCACGGTGCTGATCGTTCAGCCAGCGAACAACTAAAAAAAAAAATCTTTCCACAAATTTACAGTCAACCAGAAAGACAGATATGTTATGAGTGTGCATTAGTGCACAATTTAAAAGTTCTACAAATTGGCTTCACACAAAACATGGTTTCTTGTTTATTGCACTAAAATCTTTAGCTAATCAAAAACTAGTTGCACACATTTTTCTATGGCGACAATGGGCCTCATTCATGAAACATGAGCAGAACAAATTTTTGTGTAAATCGTTCGTTAAGCTGTTCTGACGTAAATTTTCGGATTCATGAAAGTGTTCATATTTTCAAAATGTTAATTGGTTGGTACAAAAGAAATGTACACCTGCTCCTTACCACGTGTAAATGGTGCGTAAAACGTTCTGTGTTCAATTTGGCAAACTGATGACACTGAATTTTGATGCACTGCCATTATAATATTTAACAAGTTCGTTTGCTGTTTTTTTTTTTTTGGTAGCTGAAAGTTGATAAACTGTTTAGCTTTGTTTTTTTCTGCTGTAAAGTTGGGCATTTTAACATGGGGAGTCTATGGGATTGACTCCCTTTTGCAGCCAGCCTCTAGCGGCCAGTTGACGAATTACAGTTTAAGTCACTTCCTTGTTGGCTTCACGAGAGAGAGTGGGAGGTTGCCGCTCGGGTAAAACGCAGTGCTTATCATTGTCACTTTTTACCCAGCCGTCCGTCCAATCAATGGAGGATGGGCGGGACAAATAGCTTACTACACTGACCAATCATCCTACTTGTACAACAACTGAACAACAATAGAAAAGTTAATATTGCTGGTTACTGCATTTTTATATTCAGTAATATTCTTCAAAATGAGATACTAGTAATACGTTACTGCCATGGATATTTCAAATCATAGCAACCAAAGCGTCTCAGCTGAAAAAACGCTGTGCCACCAAAGCGTTATCAAGCGCCACCAGCTGGTCGTTTTAAGAAGAGCGCCTGACATTTTTCAGCTGGCTAAAAACGCTTTGGTGGACACACGTTATTGAATATTTATTGTTAGGCATATGGCCTATTAGTATTTTTTGCATTTATGCAATATACTGGAGCCAAACCTGAGAAAGCAGACCAGAATATTCCACTGCGCTCCTGGACACGCAATTTGAGTAGCTGTAATTCATAGGCGGGGATTATGCTAATTGTGAATGAGCGTGCACACGTGCCCTATTTACGAATGATTGGAATTCATTAACATACGCATGTTTAACAATCAAATCGGAAGTTTACGAAGCGTTTGTGAATCCGGAGGAGAGTTTTCGTGAAGGTCTGTTTTACGTGCAAATTACTCAGAATTTACTCATATATTTACGAATGTTTCATGAATGAGGCCCACTGGGAGTATAGGTGACCGATGGTTGATATAATGGCAATATACTGTAAATAAATAATGTATATTTGAATGAGTAATGGCAAATGAAACATACAGTACCGTTCAAATGTTTTGGTCTATATAGTAAGATTCTTGTGTTGAAAGATCTTGTGTTGATCACAAGTGACAATGTTACAAAAGATTTCTGTTTTAAATAAATGCTGCTCTTCTCATTAAAGGTGCTGTATGTAAGTTTTTGACTCTACTAAAGCATAAAATTAACATAATATGTTTGCAGATATTTAAGAAACATGCTAAGTTAACATACTTGTTTATCTGAAAAACAATGCTACAGTCAGTTATTCTCCTTTGAAAATGTGTGTTCTGTGTCGGAATGTCTGTCTGTCTCTGTTTTGGTCTGTGTAACCCGCCCACTGACAGTTTACCCAATTGTATTTCGGCACCCCAGGTTGCCATTTGGCGGAAAACACAGCGTATTTAATTTCAGTCATGGAAGCTGTCAAGGAAGGTGCGCTAGTTCCTGTTGGTGTCGTCAATCTGGCAACCTGCGTGTGCGTCAAGTCTGAGGAGGAGGGGCCGGGTGAAAATAACCCTCTCCAATATTTGGAATTTGGACTGCAATACCTAGTTCAATCCTATATACAGCACCTTTAAAGAATTCTCTTCGTCATAAAATCACAATTTCCAAAAAATATTAGGCAGCACAACTGTTTTCAACATTGATAATAATACATGTTTCTTGAGCAGCAAATCAGCATATTAGAATGATTTCTGAAGGATCATGGACACTGAAGACTGGAGTAATGATGCTGGAAATTCTGCTTTGATCACAGGAATAAATTACATTTTAACACATATTCAAATAGAAAACATTTTTATTTGAAATTGTATTTAAAATTGTAATAATTTCACAATATTACTGTTTTTACTGTATTTTTTATCAAATAAATGCAGCCTTGGTGAGCAGCAGAGACTTCTTTCAAAAATGCAGTATTTTTTAGGTAATCCGACATAAAGGTGACATATCATGAAAATCGGACTTTTCCAGGTTTTAAGTGCTATAATCAGGTCCCCGGTGTATCTACCAACCAAGGAAACGTGAAAAAGGTTAACCCATAACTTTGTTTTGGGAAGCCTTTTTCTGCAAGAGTCTGAGAAAACGAGCGCGTCAGATTTCACTCTCCTAGTGACGTTGCAAAGGGATCTCATTATAATATTACCGCCCCTTAATCTGTAAGTTTCCACCCACGGTGCCGTCATTTTGATTTCGCAAGCGACAACGGTGTACCAGCTCTAATGCCATGGCGAAAGTTTGAGCAAAACATACTAACTGTTCTGTCTTTGGCTGCACAGACGAGCACAGAACACTGTTTAGAGTCCCAGCCTCAGAGTAGACGAGAGCAGTGGATTTATTGATTTATTTACTGTTTATTGCTACTGCCACACAGATCTAAAATAAACATGCGATTTATTTCCCAGCTGTTTACCTTCACAGACATAACCGACTGTTTTTGTAACTCGTGTGTTTTTAACGTAAACTTGTGTGAATGAGAACTTAGTTTATGTGTATTATGAGGTTATGTTTATGTGTAATGTAGCAGCTCTATTCTGGAAAAGAGGGCGGGGAACAGCAGCTCATTTACATTTAAAGAGACAGGCACGAAAAACAGCATGTTTCTGCTTCCACTCAAAATAGGCATTTACAAAATTATATAATAAATGATCTGTGATTGGTATTTTGAGCTGAAATTTTACAGACACATTCTGGGGAAACCAGAGACTTATATTGCATATTGTAAAAAGGGGCATAATATGAACTTGCACTAAAATCATATAGCACACATTATGTGCTCAAATTGAAAACAATGCATTATAAAATTCAGTAAATTAGCACAAGTTGCTAAATAAAAAAAAACATTTACTTATATAAATAAACATGTATATAAACATTTATTTTACACTAGCTGACATACTTTTTAAATGTATTTATTTAACAAATTTATTTTAATCAAAATTCCATTAGAAATACTGGGAAAAAAAGAAACTATACACATTGTCTCTGTAAAAGGCTGCCAGAAGATTCTGAAAGAGATTTAAGTTGCTAAATAATTAATTTTCTTATCACTAGTTAAAACTGCTTTCACGTGTAATTTAGGGACACATAACATACACCTTACAAATTCACTTTGCACCAAGAAATTAGTATTATGAAGTGTTAAATGCTTCAGTTTCCGCTATGACTGCAAGTGATAGACGTGGAGGAGCACATGTTCGAATCTGACGAGGATCTGCCAAAACCTGCCTGAATATAGATGTGAAATTACGATAGCTGAAGCAAAACCTGCCTGTTAAAAATGTGAAATACTTTAGGAATGAATCAGACTGACCTTTACAGCCAGAACCTTGAATAAAGTTTAGCTTGAGTAGACGGCATACTTAATGTGATGTGAACAAAACCAGACTGCGAGTGATGCTAAAACA